CACACACACACACACACACACACACACACACACACAAACACAGACACACGCCCGCACACTCCATGGTTGTGCACGCGTGTATGTGTGTTTGTGTGTTATCGTGCACGTGTGGGACCCCGACAGTCTCCCCACGATGCATTTCCACGCTTGCGTGCATGCGTGTGTGCGTGCGTTCGTGCGCGCATGCAATGTCATCGTGGCTACACACAACTCCACAAAAGAAGGCAGTACGGGCAAGCCGTCAACCCAGTGGGCCTTTGTACTTGACTACGGCGGGCACCGCCCTGCAACAGGCCAATGCCCGGCAGGTACGGGTGTTTCCTTCCCTACCTGTACAGGCCCTCTTCTCAATGGGCGAGACGGTCCAGGCCGTCCGTGGTCCTACCGGCCCGAGGGCTCGGTTCGTCGCGTGATGTTAAACCACCAGTATTCCCAGGCATTTTGCTGTGACGCGGCAGTTAACACGGAGGCCGCACTCGGCCTCCAGCGGCGGCCAGATGCACCGCCGAAACTCAGCGCGCAGGGCCTGTGGGGGATAGCTGGGAAAGGTACTCGCGGTTTAAGACATTATAAGATCGCGCGACAATCCAGGTCGTCCGCCCTGGTGGACGGCCAGGATCATGGCGCGATCTTCAAATCTCAAGATCGTGCGATGATCTGAACATCGGGCCGTAGGACCATGAGCAGCATGGATCGCCGTGCGATCTTACAGTCTTAAGATCGTGCGACGATCCGAGCCGTCAGGCCGTGTAGCATATCAGGAAGTGAAATGCATGGAAGCCTAGGATCTAGCAATGATGAAAGTGACAACAACCAGCAGCATTGGTGCAGCATTCACAAAATGACCATGTGCACAATGCAGAGAACAAAAAAACGAGAAAACAATAACAATGCATTCACATCGTCATCATCATAGGCTGGGAAGCAGCGCAACGGAAGTCTTAAGTAATCATAGGACACAAGGACGGACAAACACACAAGAAGAGGACTTCGGAAGAGCAGCACATCAGAAAGATTGCTCTTCCGCTCAAGCGCATGGGGAGAGAGCCATAGACAATGTTGGAGGGAAGGGCGAGACACAGGATGTAACCAAGTCTGATCCCAATCTGATCTCCAAACGTCGTACACAGTCCAATCCCAATGTAGAGTCCAAGTCTCGTGTCCAATATGGCAGAACGCCGTGTCCAGAACAATGTCTGCAAGTACCTCTATCTCTACTCTGATGAAGAAGAAGAAGAAGAAGAAGAATAAGACGGCAGAAAGAAGAAGGTCTGGAGGAGTAAGAGAAGAAGAGGAGAGACGAAGAAAGCTAGGCGCTTTCTGACCTTGCTTACCTGGGTGCTGACTGCAGGTACCGCGGGGAGCCCAGCTATGGCGCTGGTAAGTCGCGGCACGTAAGTCCTCCTTCTCTCTCTCTCTCTGTCTGTCCTAACTCCGCTAACCTCCTTTAGCGCTGGACTCCTCCAGCGCTGCAATGCTGAAAAATAGTGCAGCAGGCAGTCTCGAAATAGCGCAGCAGGTGAATCCTTGAACCAGCGTAACGCTGGGTTTCCTCTCCGTTCCTCTGTCCAGAACTGGGAGCTGGCCCAGCTTATATAGTGCTGGGCCGGACCAGAGTGTCCACAGCCTTCGACCTGGACCGTGCAGATCGAACCTCCGATCCACGGTTCAGATCGCAGGCCCGAAATGTGGTTCATTCCTTGGCCTAAAAACGGCCTGCCTGGGTCCCTACCGGACGTCCAGGCCCTGTCCAGGACTGGGCCTGTTCGGCACCTGGTCCAAAACAGGTCCTGTGCGAATGCATCAGGCCTAAACGTCGGCCCAGGTCCGAACAGGTCCAAAGTCTGTTTGGAAACAAAAAAAGGTCCAAACGTTTTTAGAGGCTCAGCCTCTGGGTCTGAATCTGGCCCTGAAACGTTTCCCTGGGAGACCCTGCCTCTTGGTCCAAGTGGCCTGGCCGTACCTGGGCAAAACGGACAACAGCACACGCGTTAGAAAAACAACAGCAATAAATAAAAAAATAAAATAAACTAAAGCTGGCGTTTTTCAGATGCAGGCCCAAGTAAAAGTGTCGCAGGGCCTTCAGGTTGCTGTGACGCGACCTGGGGGCCCTTATTCCAACCTCGGGTCCCGTGACGGGCCCGTGTGTAGGCTCTCAGCATGTAACAGGCCGGTAGGATCGCAGACAGCCCAGATTGCCCAATTCTCACGTTAGCGATTTCTATAAGTGTAGGGATTTTGTCTGTTCTCTTAATGATGCTTGTTCGTATGTATTACTAGTAATACACGAGAAGGGAGGAAGGAAATGGGAGGTGGAGTTCTGACAGGGTTCTAAATAGTGACCGCTAGGGTAGACAACTCTAGAATGGCACATGAGGCCAGTGTGTGTGTGTGTCTGTGTGTGTGTGTGTGAGAGAGAGAGAGAGAGAGCCCTGCAGCATGCAGCATGCCAGTGGCGGGGTGCACAAGGGCAGGGCTAAACTCAAAAAAAAAAAAAAAAGGTAATGTTCTATTCGGGTAGATGAGTTTTCTTCTCGAAATTCAAATAGAAAAGATACGATTTGTATTCGAATACAACACGTACGCGGTCTTCGAACTGCCCTTCTATTCGAGAAAAGTGGACCCATGCCGTTTTGATTTTGAAATGTTCAACTCAAGGACTGCAGCCTCTTTGGCCTCCTAAGGGTCCTAAGGGCATCTACCGGTCCTCCGCAAGCAACAACTGCCCGTTCCCAATGAATTGCCCCCCGTAGCAAATTCAGCACCCTTCCAACTACCATTTAAACACGAACAGACGACTGGTATGACCAAACGATGAAAATTTGACTCTGACAGGCTGCGAACATCAGACAGGCATCACACACAGATGGACACACTCGTCACACAAACACACACACACACACACACACACACACACACACACACACACACACACAC